CTGGTATATGATCATATTATATTTCATGACGATCTTGCATTATCAGTTTTTGCACAGGATTAATGTTTCAACTGATTTTAGACGACCTTTACAAAATTCGTCAGTGGGCGAACTGCGGTCACCATGAAAATCATTGTACTTACGTTTCACAGTGGCAAAGGATGAAGCTTCATCGCCAAATGTGGAAGTATGTCTATCGATGCCTTCTTGTCTTGATACTCACAATCCAAGATTATTTTTGTGTTAATATTTATTTAGTACTACATAGGTGAAAAACTACCATTTCACATCTTATGGTAATTGATAACATGCACTTATGTAACATAAATAAAAAAAAGGTCGCAAATGATCGCAAATACAGGTACGACCCCAACTTTCAGAAAAGAAGGATGTCAAGGTACTATACCAGATATCACACTTACATCGGAAAGCTAGTAAGCTTAACCAATGGAGAGTCTTAGAAGAATACACAGGAAGTGACCACGAATATCTGTCGTATTGTGTACAGACCGAGACAATTTCGGGTAATGATCGAAGCACAAGAGGAACCTACAAATGGAAGGTGGCGAAACTAGAAACAAGAAGCCTATAAGAAGCAATTGATGCCGCACTTCCCACGCATATGGCAAACGCCGAAGAAATGGTGAGACATACAATGATAAGAATTACACAGGCATGTGCGATATCAATGCCAAAAACTACCCAAAAGAAAGGTAAAAAGGGCGCTTCTTGGTGAGCAGAAGAAATAAGTTAACTGCGAAATGCATGTCTACGTACACGAAGACGCTACACGAGAGGTAGACAAAATGGATCCTGTGAGGCAGAAGGTCGAGAATATATCTAAGCCAAAAAGAACCTAAAAAAAGCGATTAACACAACGAAGAAAATGGGAGGAACTTCGAAAGGACATAAATCATAATCCATGGGGCCTTGGATACAAAATAGTCATGAAGAAATTTGGAATAAAATCACCAGTAAGTGATTTAGAAGAAAGGAAAATGAACGAAATTGTTAATACCCTGTTCCCAAACTACGATATAAGGAGTGACGAAAATGTCGCACAAGTTCAACTGGAAAATATTGACAACTTCAGGGAAAGAGAACTAACGATCACGCCTAAAGAACTACAAAATAATAAAGCACCTGGACCGGTTGGGGTACCAAACGAAGTTTTAAAAATAATTGCGGAAAATAAGCCTCAATTATTACTGACAATGTACAATGCATGTCTTAGAGAGGGAATTTTCCCAGATATATGGAAAAGGCAGCGATTAGTGCTTATCGACAAAGGCAAGGGAAACAGAGATACTGCAGCAGCATTTAGACCACTGTGTTTGCTAGATACCGCAAGAAAACTCTATGAAAAGCTGATAAAGTCTAGACTAAAATTCCCAGTAGAAGCATCTGGTGGACTCAGCTCTAAATAATATGGCTTCAGAGCCAAAAGATTCACAATAGGAGCCATCACTGAGGTTATCTCGATCGCAAAAGTAACCCAATGTGATACTCAAGACCAGTAGTATTTCTTGCCACCTTAGACATCAAAAATGCCTTTAATAGTCTCAGATGGAAAGACGTCATACAGGCGGTAGAAAATCGCTTCCAAGTACCCGTTTATATAAGCAGAATAATTAAAAGCTACTTAAAAAACCAACAATTAATATATTCAACAAAATATGGTTTAAAAACGGTACAAATAACGGCTGGAGCAACGCAAGGATCAACCTAGGGACCTGAATTATGAAACATCACTTATAATGACATTTTGCAAATAAAGATGCCTCAACATACCTTTTTAGTAGCTTACGCAGATGATTTGGCAGCAATTATTTCCGGCCGTGATACCCAAATAGTTCAAAGAAAACTCACACAAGTGATGTTGAGAGTACAGGACTGGTTAAGCACGCATGGCTACTCATAAAACGGAGATATTACTGTTAACTCGTAAGCATGTAAATACAGAAATAGAAATGCGAGTAAATAATAATGTGCTGAGGACCCAAAAAACGATTAACTACCTTGGAATGAGATTAGATGGGAAACTTACGTTTTGGGTGCAAATAAAGTATGCGGTAGAGAAAGCAGCGAAGGCCACTGCTGCCTTAAGTAAACTAATGGCTAACACAGGAGGACCCGTCGCGAAAAAAAGGAAATTGTTAATGACAACAGTAAACGCAATTCTTCCATATAGTAGCGAAGTGTGGGCAGATGCACTAGATATCGAAACGCGTAGAAAAGAAATAATAGCGGTGCATAGAAGGGCAGCTCTACGTATCACATCAGCGTATCGCACTGTCCTGGCGGAAGCAGTTTTTGTAATAGCAGGTGTAACTCCAATTGATCTTCAAGCAAAGGAGCGCCAAAGAGTATACAACAGGAAAACAAACGGTGACTATACTCAACAAATGGCAAGACAAGATCAGGACCAAACCATCGAAATGTGGCAACAAAGATGGAACAATAGCACACAAGGAAGATGAACAGCTAGATTGATACCAAATATATTCACTTGGCTCAAACGGAAATCGGGAGACACAAATTACTATCTCACTCAGATGCTGACCGGACATGGTTACTTTTGTAAGTACCTGTACCGCATGGGAAAAATGAATTTGCCCGACTGCATATATGGCGATGGAGACTATGCCGACGCAGAGCACGCCTTTTACTGTAATAGGTGGCTCACAAATAGAGAAGAGTAATAGCGCAGATTGGACCTAAAAATCCGAAAAATATAGTGGAAAAGTTGAAAGCGAACCCAGAGAGTTGGCGAACGATAGAGTCATATGTGACTCAAGTTCTCAAAACGGAGAAATTAGATCTAGAAAGGAGAGTTAGAAACTAAAATAAGAAATATAATAAATAGAGTGGACACTAAGAAAAGTGGTGGTCTAGACGCAGATCGAAAATCAGGAGAGCGTGACTTGAAACGCCAGCATAAAAAAGACCCTCCTCGAAGTAATGCGAAAGCGTTTCCGAGGGGGAATAATTCTCGTTGAAGAGGGGGTGTTTTAGTCCGTATACTACATATTAATGTTAGGGAGTCGGATACACCATTCCGACGTCGGTCGGTTTGACGGAACATAAAGCATTCCACCTCCTCACCACAAAAAAAAAAATAAATAAAAAGATTAAAATAAGAAGTAGCAAAGTAAAAACGAATACAAAAATGTATATATATTAAGAATTTTTATAAATAAATTTAGTAAATTTAGTATTGAACAAAAACTCATCACCTTCGGTTGATTTTCTTATTAAGGCAAAACCTTAATATACAGTACATTAAAAGAGTTAACTATATAAGTTCAAGTATTTTTAATTTTTGCTCTTCATCAGCAGTACTTAAGGAGTATTTACCTCCATAGTTATTAAATGTAATTACTTGGCGTGAAGGCTCACCACTTTGGTGATCTTAGCAGAAGTATCGGTATATTGCGCTGACAAACCCCCCATTTGAATTTTCAGGGAATTACGCCGATACCAATTGAAACTGTTTGGATATAGTTTCCTCATTGGTGAGGAAATCACCTCATTGGTCACCTCATCCTCATTGGTAAGGTAATAGGAAGATAAATAAATTAAGTTTTAGCGGTAGAAATTAATTCGATTAACATTTAGAAATCTAAATCGATATAAACCAATGTGTGAGAAGTTAGACTAGTGAAGATTTAGGGCAACTATCAGAATGATAGTGAAATTGTGGTTTACTTGTTTGGTAGAAAATGTTGTACAATACGTGTGCTTGCTGTTAGGCTTGCAAGTGTAATTAGGACAGCTATGAATGATTTTCCTAAAGTTGTTTTTTATACAAAATATTTTAATAAACTTTATAGATGTTTTTTATCGAACATACAGATCATTCAACATTATCGGTGCCTGTATGGTCGTGTTTAAAAGTATCAATGATTCTACTCTAAGGCACCTGTGGTGTGCATACACATCTTATATATACTTGCCGCAGCGTACTTTATACCAACATTCCATTTCGATACTTAGTTGCAATAACTGTGCAACGGAAATTGGACACCACGTAAATAGCGTCGAAAAAGACGCTTAGTAAGCGAATATGCCTATGCACACTCTATACCTATAATATACTTTTATAAGTAATGTATTTTAAATTAAATACGTCTTAACAACTTCATTGTTGAAATAATAATCTTTTTCATTTTCATTATACAAAAAATACATTAGTTTAGAAAACATGCTTCTTTACCGTTTCTATAAATTCAGAGTAAACAAATAGCAACAATTTGAAGGCGATGAGTTGATCATGTCATTAAACCGTTTCTCCAAATTTATAGAAACAGTTTACAATTACTAAAGAAAGGCAGGGGCGGATTAATACGATTATGTTACTTATATACATAAGCCTCATGTACATGTGCTGCGACGCTATGCACATGTAATAGTATACATTCTATGTACATGCGCTGCGACGCTTTTTACATAGAAGGTTAACTTAAGTTTTAACAAAAGAAAATAATAAAGATTACTTTTATATCATATCTCAAACACAACGGACTTTTAATCCCACACACCATAACATTTTTCAAGCCATTACTGGATATCAAACTGTGTTTTTTTTTTGTTAATTAATTTGAAAAATACAAAAATAATGTCATTAAACAAATCGTAATTGATATAGTGTTGACATATACCGTTTGAAGATCTTTAATTTCTAAAAATCGTAAATCGTAAAATCAAAGTGAAGCCTTTATACTCGTGTGTAAAATTTCCAACTTATTGAATGGCGATATCGACATACATAAATTTTATTTCCAATTTTATTATAATTATATAATAATTATAAGTATAAATGTTAATTATTGTTAATTGTTAAAATCTATTATTTCTCAAATTTCAACGATTTGACCATACATAAATTTTAGTTCCAATTTGTTATAATTATATAATAATTTTAAGTAAAAATGTTAATTATTAATAATTGTTAAAATCTATTATTTCTCAAATTTAAATTTCTATAATTTTTAGACGGTTCAAATTTAGTACGAATGCGGAGCTCATTAGGAAAGTCGGCACCATGCTTAATTGGAAATAATTCATTTCAAGAGGGAAGAACAAATCAAATATCTACACACAACTTGCTTTCTCAGTCTCTCTCTTTATCATTTAACAACCAAGTTTCCCATAACAATACTTCAGCCACAACATCCATCCCAACAGTTTCATCTAATAGTACACGATTGAATACAGGGCTTGGTATTGGTAAGCACCATTTACATGGTGTTGTTATGAGAGGTGGTAGTACCTCTATCAGTGTAGCATCTCATCGTTTGAGTTTAGTGACATCTGGTGTGGGAGTAATAAACACATCTCCAAACTCTCATTCACCTTACTCAGCTAGTCCAGTTGACAGTCCCCGTATAAATTCTCCAATGCAGTTTCCTTTTGCACCTATTAAACGCATAGCTGCCTACCGTGGGGATGGAAGACGGTGGTCAGTAGCATCATTACCATCCTCTGGATATGGAACCACCCCAGGCAGTTCAACTGTTTCCGTAAGATTTCTATTAAAAGAATTACCTTTACAATTGATTTATTAAATTTGATTTTTATTCAGTCACAATGTTCCAGTCAAGAGGCTTTGCATGCTATATCAACTACGTCTACATATGACGACATGAAAAAGGTAGCTGCACAAGATCATTCTTGTTGTTCTAAGCATAAACCACATCAACAAGCAAAGTATAGCTTTACGAAATACTGTGAAGCTTTTGAAAATATTGGAGGTTCATTGAAAAGCAATAAATGTGTAATTTTTGCTGGAGGTATTCCAAAAGATTTAAGTGACCAAAAGAGTTGCAGTACTAGTTTAGTCAACAATAATGAAAAGTTAGATTATTGTTATTCAGATGTCAGCCCAATATGTAGTAACTGTACAAACAACCGAATACTCGTTCATCGCCCTCGTTCTCGATCGCTGTCTAGTCCATCACGATTACCAATTATTGATAATGATATTGCAGTTATGAATACTTTATATAAAGAACGTTTTCCTAAAGCAACTTTACAAATGGAGGAGCGGCTGAAGCATTTTGTTAATGAAAACAAAAGTGCTGTATGCAATAGTTTTCGCGATTCTCAACCAATTGTACGGTAAGCTGTAAAACTTAGTAATTTAATCATATTACTAATTTATAAACATGTAAATTCGTTTTGTTTAATTTTTTATAAAGAATCGTATTTACTTTAGAAAATTTGGTAATAAATTTAAAATTTATTATAAGAACAAATAACACTAGTTAAGAATTTCGCAAGCACGTAATAATGTCATTTTCAAGTATTTTGGCTCGCTAAATCCGAAAATGATAATTAAAAAAACATTAATAATATTTTTGAGATATTGGCAAATAACGGATTTTTCACTTTTGGTTAAAATAACATGCCAATTTTGAAATCGTTAATCCATTTTTGATAAACTTATTTTTAATTATTGTACACGAAAGAGAAAAGAATTAGCAATTACTTTTACTGATTTTCATTTATTTTCTGTCACATGTACATTAGAGTGGCCGCAAAAAAATTTTTTTTTGATTTTCATATGTTTCTGCTTCTTAAAACATTTCCTTTGATGATAATTTAAGGAAAATTAAATTTCAGATCGATCCCATTGTGCCAACCCGTTTCGAGTTGAGCTCAAAAAGTTGTAAAAGTACCTCAATATAGAAAAACTCATAAAAATTACTACTTTGCTCGTAAAATATATTACTATAGTTTTATTTCAGGAATATTTTTGACTAATTTATATATTTTGGGTGTTAAGCCCTCTTTGAAATAACGTAGATACCATTTGGAACATGCGCCACTTAGACCTGTCGATTACCTGGCATCACCGAAAGAGACGGTTACCCCGGATATTCGTTCAGTATTGGTCGAGTGTTGTGGGATGGTCGCCTTAAATGTCGAATCATCTATAGAACCCGCAACCATCTTTTTGTTTTTTACCTGATGAAATTGCAGTTGTTGCTGAATACGCTGGACCAAGTTTCTTTTCCTTAAATTTGTTGTTCCTTTCGTTCTTGTAACCTCCGTGTAGGAGATAAAGTCTGGCGTTCACTATTTCGGATATCAGACTCCGCCTGATTCGCCAGTTGAGTTGTGGTATGAGAACCTGCTAGTTTGTTTAATTATTTTGTGACATCCATAAACATCCCATAAGTGTGAGAGAAAGCTATGTCCTCCGTGTCACGATAAGCCTACAGTGGGCTTGCCGGCGGGCAGGTATCAGTGAGATATCCCGGATTGGGATGCTTTACAGTTTACTCTAACACCTTCACACTTCTATCAACTCCAACTACATTCACATCATATATATAGACATATAACATAAATATAAAAACATATGCACAACATATCACAGCATATATACACAAAAGTAACACATGCCACTGCTTTGACTTCCCTGTGATTAAGCTTTAGCAGCAGTGAATTAATTGTCAAAATTCATAATAAAGCGGATAACACTTCTTGTAGTCTATCTCTCTCGACGCATTTCTTAATGCTTAGATTGCCCATCTCTGCATTGATGATTCTGTACACCAAGCATTGATGCGATCCATCGAGAGAGGTAAATCGGAATGCCAATTTTTCTGAGAGCCTCCTGAATGGCCTCCACACTGACGATTACATCCTAGAAATTTTTGTACAACGGTTACTACCGCATATATTGCCATTTCCGTGGTGTTTCCTTTGAGGTAAGCATGCTAAACGCTTGATAGGTTTGTGAAACTAGGCACCGATCTAATATAAGCGTCGATCAGTCTTTCCATAGTCTTAAGTAAAAAAGAAGTGAAGCTGATGGATCTATAATCCTTGACCGTAATGTGAATTTTTCTACCTGCCTTTGGAATACATAATACTCCAAGCGAAATAGCTACTATGGAAATGTCCATCATAAACATGATGTATCTGTGATCAGAAAAGGATCTCTTAGTTGGGACTCTCCAATTATTGATCCCTAAAGAACGGGAAGTCAAACAATGGGTGCTATCTAAAATCTCTTCCCAACCTATATGATCCTCCGTACTACGATAAACGAAGGTAGGAGTGTTATCCTGATTACAAATTTCAATATTACATTTTAATATATAATCAAAAAGCGATTCACCTCTATTTCCCATCAGGAAAACTAGCTTTTCGGTCTGTGCGAAATTGTGAACTACTTCTACCCTCTCTGGAGACGTCTCATCATCGTGTGACATGTAGGCGGACACTATTAAAACTACAGGCTTATGGTTCCGCTCTACCCTGATGGTGGTGATATCTAAAGAGCTCGATCCTGGCCATTATTTCATCAATAAACTTTGTTATTGATGATTGGGCCATCTAGCAGCTTGCTAGTGCCCTCAACCTCATCCAAAATGCTATCCGGTGGCTCATTTTTGAATATCTTACTTTTGGCCTTTCGGATGCAACAACGAAGCTTGTAGTTGTTAGCTTCACTGATTGGCAAGCATTCATTGATAAGAAAGAGGTATAATTGGCTATATTTATGCGGTTCCTTCGTCTTTAGAACTGACCAGTCTTCTATCTGGATTTCTGAATATTGCAGCTTCAGTTGCTGCAAAATAAGGTCCAGAGGGCCCAGATTTTTGGGCAACCAAACGCGCCCTCTAGACATCGATGGAATTTCCGCAGCAGGGACAGTTTAAGCTTTAAACCGTTGTCGTGTCTAATTACTCGATGATCACGGACGATATCTCTGCAGTCGAATTATGCAACGAACCCCGGATTGGTAATGAGCTCAGCCGTAACCAATTCATACAGTTTGTTTTCAATCAACGCCCAGCTCTCCATCAGCATCTTGCCATTCGAGTTGTGTTTATCGATGGTTCCTTGCCACTTCACTAAGGGGACAAGCAGATTTTATCAAACCACGTTTTATCCAACCACGAGTTCGAAGACAGTTTTGGAAGAGTTCATAGCATAATCATAGAATTCATGGCATAAGAGTTCATACATAATCGTCCACCTTACCCGATAAGACAGGAGTGGCAGACCCGAGGTAAATTGGACAATAGAAGCCACCACCATAATAGCGTCCCATATCATGGCTAGACCGCACTTACTCCCCAAAGCGGTCATGTATTGGAGACGCTCCGTAAAAATGCAGTCAGACAGACCCTTTGACTGCAGATCTACGCCCGGTGAGCACGGATCGCGTAACACTTCCGGGTTAATGGGACCTCTATATCATGATCAAAAAGTATAGAGTGGTGCGCAGCTATTGAAGAGCTAACAACAATATTTGCTGGGTACTGCCCTAACAACGTATAGAACAAGAATACTATGTGACGCATTTTCATGTGCCTCCATGTGGAGCGTTCAGTAGAAGGATTTTTATGTATATAAAATAAAACAATAAAAAAAAAACAAGAATTTTAGTGGTGAAGTGTTAAAAATTAAGTATTGATATTGAATGCGTGAACTTATATTAATTGATGTATTGTTAAACATCTTTTGCTGTGATATAGCCAACTCTATTCTTTAAATTCATTATACTCGTATAAGGTGTATCATAGTCTTCGTCAAACCATTTGTTTGAAAAAAAAAGTTTTTATAAGTGAAATATATATTTTATTTTGAGTCTGTTTCGCAGTGAATTAGTCGAACTATTGTTTCATTTTGGTTTTACCCAAACTCTATTCAATACTTCAGTTAACAATTCAAAACAATACTTTAAAAATATACTTAATAAATAAATGAAAATAAAAAAAAAGATACTGCCACCCCACGAAAACCCGACCGATCACCACGCTTGCTCCGAAAAGAAGAAGGCAAAACTTGCCAACAAAGAAAAAGAAGCCCACACACAGTAATGGCCAGATTGATATCATATGTAATTTTAAACATTTCTCCAACCTAGACGTGGAGATACGGCCGCATCTTTCGTCTGTCTTACTCGTTCGTTTCCGGACGTCCTTCAATGTTGATTCGTAAACCAGAGATCTTCGTAATTACCCATTTCACCATGGTCACCACGAACAGCACCGTCCATGCCAGGATGGACTAGGATAATGAGACCAAGCAACCAGAAGCTTAGAGGCAATCGTTCATTTTGAATTAACTTCAGTGGACCGGCTGTGACATTCATTTGCCTTTTATTCCATTTATTTTTCACATGTAACGTTCGATTATAAGCTTGATTGATAATCAATCTAGTAAAATTGTAACGGTTTGGTAAGATAATCGGACATCGTTCATCTGAGGGAATATTCGAATTTTGTAGTCATCTGTTTAGAGTCATCTGTCCACAGGTAATCGTACCTACGAAAGTTCGTTCATTTGGAACCATTCGCTTTGCTGTGAATGCACCTCAAGACGCATATTTCTATTGGAGTCAAGCTTTGGGTTTAATTTAAAAACTTTACTATATTTGTTCATTTGATTGCCTTTCGGTAAAGCAGCACAATCGTTGGTAAACTGGTTCTTTTGTACAATTTATAGTAATTTTTTGAGGACCGTTTAGGTCACATACACAAAACTTTCAAACGCGTCTGTTTTTTGACACACATGAATAAAACGTAAACATAGTGCACTGACTGCAAGTAATTTGTCAGAAGTGGTATATTTTCCAAATATTTCCAATAATTTCGTTGATAACTGCGTAGGTAATGAGGTAATCTCCCTTCTCTGATGTAAACCATCAGGAATGAGATTGAGTTGGTGTTTAGACCACATTTCTTCATTTAAACAAAGCCAAAATGGTCCGTACCACCACATTAAATTGTCTCTTAGCTACAAGACGCACAACCAGCCGGCTTATCTTTTGTTGCAATATACCTCCAGTCTTCAATATTTGTCATTAACTGATTTTGTGACACTCTGTTTGCCACAAACTGTTTTAGTTTGCCTGGATCAGTTCTAATCAACCACAGTGCGGTTGTGTTATCAGTTCACAAAATACATCGTGATGGCTGACACTTAAATGTTCCTTTAACCTTGTGTAGAATTTTTGCTGCTAGCAAAGTTATACATATTTCTAAGCGTTGTATAGACGTTTCTTTAAAGGAGGCTGAAGCTGCATAAACTTGGTTTGATGAATCACTAAACGCGTAACTCAATTGCATTTGTCTAAAAGTATTTATCCAACGTGATATTCGGATGTTATGTAATTGTTGTAAGTTAGTACGAAAATTATGTTAAGTGTGTGTCATCTCTTCTGACAAGGTGTCATCCCAATCTAATCCAGTACGCCAAAGTTGTTGCAAAAACATCTTTCTTCGAGCAATGATCGGCGCCAAGCATCCAAGCGGATCAAATAACTTTGATATCAGACAACATTAGTCGTTTTGTGTAATGATGGTTGTCACAAGTGTATCGACCTTCTCCGGTCCTACCGAAAGTGGGAGTATGACTCTGTAAGTATACCAGGATTCGTTATAAGAATTAAAAATGAAAAAACGAGACACTTCTACGTTGTGCTTATATTTTCTATATAGTTGAATCTTAAAAAAAGAACAAAAATTACATATAGAGTAAGCGGTGAAACTGTTGAGTTGTCGTGCGTTCGAAAATGGGCGAGCGTTGAAATGGCTGGAACCACCGTGCGTGCGTAGAACTTTCAATGGCGAGAATTTTCAAATAGCTTAAGTACATAATTGTTAAAAGTTTAATGCATACTTTGGTCACCTATAGCCAGGCAAAGATCCCTTCCCTGATGCTACTCCTGGCCACGCTCGTCAGCAATCGCCAAAAGCTCGTAAAACCCACACGCCTTCCAACAGTGTTGGTGACTCGTCATCCATTCTTTCATCAGCTTTACCCAAATGGCAGTCCGGATGACTAGTTAAGTTGCTCTATGCTAGCATAAGCCAAGCAGAAGGCAACTCAACCAATGTTCCTAGCAAACTCCTAACTCAGTGCTGGTGGTTCGCCATTCATTTTTCCATCAGTAATGGCCAGATGGAAATCCGATTGGCTGATTAAGCCACACTTCGTCAGCATAGGCCATACGAAAGGTAACTTAATCAATATCACCTCGGCCATCTAAACTTAATTGTCCACATGATTAAAGTCAGCAAATGCCAAACGAACCATTATGTGTCCAGATCACCTGGACTGCGCTCTCACTGTTATCTCTAAGCACACACAACTTATCTTCAATGATACGAAATTTCAAATATGTAGAACAAAAGGCAAATTGGTTTTCTTTTATATAAAATTCCTTCCATTGCAGGCAACAACAAAAAAAATGTTTGAAGTCAACAAAATACCGTTTGCAAAGCAACTCTCACATTGCATTCAAATTTAACAAACTTAATTTAAAATTCGCCGAATTTTGCTAGTAGTAAAATCGTGGAAAAACCATGATTTTGTGAACTTAAAAAGAATACTGGCATAAAATGCACAATTACGAAATGATTAAAATTCGTTATATTGACTTTGTAGCCAAAGCTGTTCGAATTTGTACACCAAGTGTCTTATTTTCAGTGATAATTGTTTAAAACTTAAGCCTGCAGTTGCTAAAAGCTCCTGAAAGTCATGCAATTTCGTTCGAGTATGACAGCAGTTAATTTGTCCTGTCACTGGTGTGTATTTAGGTAGCAACAGTCTACCAAAAATTACCCAACGAGTTACATATGTTAAGCAACAATATTGTTAGTTGGTTGCTCAAATACAATAGCAGCGTAATCTGAATCATATCAATTGCCCCAGGAACCTGTAATTACGGATCGATCAAATATTAGTTTAGAAAATCATCAAGTGTTTCCTTTGGTACTGGAATAGTTGGGGTAACACGACCCATTTTTGGAAGTATTAATGCAACACAATTCATTTTGAAATTGAATTTTAAAGAATGGAGTGTAAATGAAACCATTTACCAGCTCTTTGACATTTATTTTGTCCAGTTTTAATGAACTAGCTGACAAACGTTGCTTCCGACGTACTATCCAAAACAGGACGTACAGTAAGCTTTTGGCCAGAAAGACCTGTTACTTCTATCAGTGCAGTTAAAACAGTCGGTAGATGCAATGCTCGAGTACCTTGACTGGCACTAGAAACGTATATGTTGTTTGATGTCACAGCGTATTTCTTAGTTGCTTCGGTGGACGTACAGTAAGCTTTTGGCCAGAAGGACCTGTTACTTCTATCAGTGCAGTTAAAACAGTCGGTAGATGCAATGCTCGAGTACCTTGACTGGCACTAGAAACGTATATGTTGTTTGATGTCACAGCGTATTTCTTAGTTGCTTCGGTGGTTTTTTGCTGTGTATTTGAGTAATTCGTTTCTCCACCACTTCGATTGTGTTCATGTAGCAGTGTATGATGAGTTGCATCACATCTCAGGTACCGATGTTTCGATGGTCAACTATGACACATGTTTCCCGCTCTCAAACAATTGAAACACAATCTTGCAGTTCTGGCTACCTCATATTTCTGTGGCCCAGTCATTTGTCAAAACTCTGCGCAATATGCCAGCAAATACTTACCCTAGCATTATACACATTGCTGAATAGTTGTATAAGAGCCTTTTCCAAAACTCTTTGCTCGGGTAGTTGTTTTTCTCCCGATTGGATTTATCGGGATCGATTTTCTATGAAGTTGACCAACTTCTGAACTGGTCGTTGACAGCTCTCAGGTTGAACGCGTTCTAGTGTGTAGTTTATATAGGAGAATAAAAACCAACCAATCATTAAAATGTTGTACTGGACGACCCAGTTGTTCTAACGCACGTACAGCTGACGTAATGGTGCCACATTGTAATCTATTTAGATTTAGTGAGCAGTCAGACACCGCTGTTATATTAACAATTTCCTTCAAATACACATTAAGGATTATCCTTTACTGCCCAATGTGCATCTGTTGTAGTAATGTTGTCTAGCGCGTGTTAAGCGTCCAATTCCATTCCACGTTTTTAATTAGTTTTATTGTTATCTGAGGAGTCTATAATTTCAGTGTTTGCTAACGCATCAAATAGCTCTCCCATCGTTTCTGCATATATCATTTCGATTTCCAAGTAATTGTCTTTGCTGACTAACGGTACCACTGAGTCACTCGTTTCTTCAATTTTTGCACCGTCATGGATATAGGCTAACAAATTTTCTCAAGCTTCTTTGTACTACTTCCAATAACTTTCAAAGAGATTCTTCTTTATGGTAAAGAAGCCTTTTGTTTGCTTGCTTTTTGTAGTTTTTTTTAAGTTGATGGAGAAGCTGTTCCGCATGGATTGTTTACCCGCCAATTTTCTTACAATTCTGTCCATTTTCCGTTTATATGCAAATCAAAATACGACTATTATATGTAAGGTAACTACTTGTGCCCAACGGTTTTTCTAATTCAAAGCAAACAATTGTACCCAGTGAGTATAGAAAGTAACCAGTTGTGCCGGTCGGCTTTTATATGGTAGATAGTGGCCAATTGTGCCCAGCAACTTTTATAAAATTTGAAAAATTTGTCCAGCGATATTCGTAGTCAGCAAACACAAAATTGTAAGATATGTTACTCCACGCAAAGGATGTCTAAATGTTTCGCAATGAATTAGCCGAACTATTGGAATTTTATTACTGAACAATTTTCATTTTTTTTTATTTTATAAAAAATCACCAAGGTGCACAAATTTCAATTATTTGCAAAAAGTCAACCAAACATCTGATGAAATCGAAATATTATTTTAAATTCTACGTTCAAAAAGCAAAGTTCCAATCTACATTCTCTGGTTCATAATTGGTGATTCTCGCTTGCGCAATTGAACGCTAATTTACATAAAGTTTTTCGTTTTTTAGGGTTTTGTCGACATGGTGTCTTTGAATCGCTATAGATCTCTTTTAGCTGGGTTTATGTATTTATATTGTATTATATGTATTTAGAGTAACATATGTTTTTGGTTTTCTGTTTCACATATACTTTATATCACAGCTTTATCTTAATGTAATTTGTTTACGTTTATAGTTTTGTTCATCATCAAGTTCTTGAAATGGCTCGAGATTGCTTGCATAAATCAGAGGCAAAATTAATTACATCCCGTTATTTTTATGAAATGAGTGATAATTTAGAACGCTTATTATTGGAAACAAAAGATAAATCTCCTGAAGCAGCAACTGAACTTACTGGTGTAATAAAAAAATTACTTTTAATAATATCTAGACCTGCACGTTTACTTGAATGCCTAGAATTCGATCCTAAAGAGTTTTACCACTTACTTGAAGCTGCTGAAGGACAAGCAAGAGCAATACAAGGAATAAAAGCAGATATACCTCAGTACATCATACAAAAGTTAGGACTTAATCGTGATCCAATTGCTGACTTGCAAAAGGAACTTAATGAAACTAAAAAACTATGTAAAGAATTGGAATCAACAAATAGCTCTAATATGGGACCATCACCGTTTTCTATATTATTAAGTTCACCAAGAACTTTTGTTTCGTCTAATTTGAACAAATCCAAAAATGTCTTGGAGTCTGAAGGCAATTTTTGTTGTAGTGGACTCAGTTCCTTACAACTATCCCCACCTAAACAACCGCCGCATACTCCTGTAGTAACTGGCGATGATATGCCGACACCATCCTTTGAAGCAACCGTTAGCGCCACTGGTAATCCACATTTACTTGATTATAATCAAGCATCACAACAGCCCATACCAAATGAACATGATTTTGATATAATTAAATTGATCTCAAATGGTGCCTATGGTGCCGTGTATTTAGTAAAACATAATTGTACAAGACAGCGTTTTGCTATGAAAAAAATTAATAAGAATAATTTAATATTACGCAATCAAGTGGAGCAAGTTTTTGCCGAACGCGACATACTCTCTTTTGCAGACAATCCCTTCGTTGTTAGTATGTATTGTTCATTCGAAACGAAAAAACATTTGTGCTTGGTTATGGAGTATGTAGAAGGTGGGGATTGTGCAACTTTGCTTAAAAATATCGGAGCGTTGCCACCAGATATGGCCAGATTTTATTTCGCAGAAACTGTTTTGGCTGTTGAATACTTGCATAGCTATGGAATTGTACATAGAGACTTAAAACCTGATAATTTACTAATAACAGCGCTAGGCCATATCAAACTCACAGATTTTGGGTTATCTAAAATGGGATTAATGTCGTTAGCTACCAATTTGTATGAAGGTTACATAGATTCAGAAACAAAACAATTTTCCGATAAACAGGTAAAAAAATACAATTAATTATTATTAATTAATGCAATTAATTATAAATATTCAAAATATAACAGGTTTATGGTACGCCGGAATATATTGCTCCAGAAGTGATATTAAGGCAGGGGTATGGAAAGCCAGTGGATTGGTGGTCAATGGGTGTTATATTGTACGAATTTTTAATTGGATGTGTACCATTTTTTGGGGAGACCGCCGAAGAACTTTTTGCGCACACTGTGAATGACGATATTGAGTGGCCTGATAACGACGACTGGCCTGTGCAACCGGAGGGGAAGGATATAATTACGCAATTATTACAACAAAATCCCCGTGATCGACTTGGTACACAGAGCGGTGCATTTGAAGTAAAAGAACATTTTTATTTTAATAAACTTGATTGGAATTCTCTTCTTCGACAAAAAGCTGAGTTTGTTCCGCAATTAGCAAATGAAGATGATACCAGCTACTTTGATTGTGTGTTATGTATTGAGGTACAGTTATTATAAATAATAATATTGTAATTTTTTATAGCTCGTATTGATCGTTTTAATCACGATCTGGCCGGAGAAGATACAGACGATACAGATGATACACCAGTTTTCGGTTCATTTTCTTCTTATACTCCACAATACCGAAAACAGCATTACTCCTGGCCAAAGTTTTATTCATCAAATGATTCAACAATAGCAAACAGCAACGTAATGGGATCAGATTTTCTGCAAACAGTAAAGAGTAATCAAAATGATTACGTTAAAAGCTTTACAAATACTTCGATGCATTGTTTAGAAGATGAAAAAGTAATATCCCCTAATGATAGTGAAATAGCTGCATTTGATTCATCTTTTATTGATAATATGAAGTCCCCAATTAAACCACAATTACAAAAAGTTGGTGTAAGTTTGTTAAAATTTTAAATTTGTTGTGCTGAAATATTAATGTTACATTACGTATTTTTAGTATTCTACCAGTTCTTTAAAAGTTCCATCTACGCCTGATTCTGAATATATGCCAGAATTACTTCAAAACGTTGATATAACAGATGAAAAAGTATCGAACCAACAAATTCGTCAGTCGATATCAGCGACAACAATGCCAGTAAATAAAATATGGCGTAAACCAAATCAACAGAATTTTATGCACAGTATGCCACCTAATAACATAACAGTTTTAAATATATCAACTAGTTCGCCGAATAAAATAAAACCAACTATGATTAGTTTGAATTCAAATACACCGGAATCGTCACAAACAGATAGTGATGATTTTTCACCACAAATACATCGAAAGCGTAAGGGAGTTTGTGCACGTGATATTTTACCACGATTTTCAATTTCCATAGAAGATGAAACAGTAAGTGAAGGTTCCTCCTCGACAGAAAATAAACGAGAATTCGCATCACTTATATTGCACCATCAAAAGTCTATAGATAATCATTCTAATAAATATCGATCACGATCAATTGTTAAATCGGCATCAACATTAGGTTTATCGTTAATATCTAATGAACGTAAGTAATAAAGTAATTATTTTAATTCGTATTAGATATTATTGATTATATATTTTTTATCAGCTGATAATAAACAGCTAACGCAAAATATGACTGACATTGTAAGCAATGACGTTCATTCGGCTAGGGGAATTGGAGGAGGCGGAGGGTCTAGTACTGCCAGCTCTCGAGATACTTCACCATGTCGTGAATTGTCACCATTAGTCACTAATCTTAAGCCACCTATAATTATAAGCAGGGGACCAAAAGGATTTGGTTTTACCGTTCATACTATACGTGTATACTATGGTGATACTGATTTTTATACAATGCATCATTTAGTTATGGCTGTTGATGAAGGCAGTCCTGCATTTGAAGCAGGTTTACGTCCAGCGGATCTTATAACTCACGTCAATAATGAACCTGTTCAAGGTTTATTTCATACACAAGTCCTGCAATTACTGTTAAGTGGAGGTGAGCATGTTACCTTACGTGCCACACCACTTGAGCATACCAGCATTCAAAGTGGTGGCCGTAAAAGAGATTTACTGCAGAGCAAATTAGCTAAGAAGGGCGTAAATCGGCAAAAAAAACAAACTAAAAAAGAACATGATAAAAAACGTAAAACTTCACTTTTTAGGCGAATAAGTAATAAACGCGCTTCAGTCGAAATACAACAGGTAAGCTTTTTTTCTATATTTAACTGTTGCAGATTTAAATTTATGTATGTTATATTTTAATCCTAATCGTATGAGAAATACAATTAATTCATTTATTTTACTTCACAAAACTATTGTTTTTAATAGTTTATAAATTTTAAAATTGATAACTATTAGTTTTTGTAGTACTGCAAACAGAGTTAATAATACTGTTAGTAGCGCTAACAGATGTCATTCATGCGTGACGATGAACGAATGAATATAATTAATATATTTCATAAAAAAAATATTAGGGGATTAGTAGGTATACATAATGAAAGTTATATACGTATATTTAAATATTAAAAGGTTGTTTGTTTTAATTTATTGTTATAAATTTTAATGTTAAAATACGAAAGTGGTTTGATAAGTCAATGACTTTTTGAATTTCTCGCGCAGTTACTCCAAATGCAACAGTGCTGCCGTCAGTTGTAATCTACCAGTGGGCAAGTTTTTAATTTTGAGCAAGTTACGTCGTTCAGTTGGTGTTTGATAGCCGTTCAAAGTAGACAGCCTCGTGAATTTTTACGAAAATGGAAAAAAGTGCATTTTGTGTACTGATTAAGCATTGTGACCAAAATCCATGAATTGGAATACGAACTGCTAACCCATCCAGCATATTCTCCAGATTTAGCCCCCTGCGACTATTTTCTGTTTCCAAGCCTAAAGAAATGGCATACTTTCATCTAACTATATTCTGCAGATAATCTGATGCAAACACCCCATTAGAATACCACCGCCGGCGTTTAACAATTCAGCAGGTAGGCCATCGGTACCTGCCGCTTTGTTGTTCTTAAGTCGCTTTATAGCAACGCGCCAAAGGCGGGTTGCTTAACAATTCCACCTTTGGAATTGTTAAGTCAATTCCAAAGGCGGAATTGATGTTATCATCCTCAATTAGTAGTTCAAAAAAATGTTCCTTCAATACTTTCAATACATTCTGTGTATCTTTAACAAGACTACAATTTAGCTTAAATTGTAGTCTTGGCTTAAAGCCTTGAGTCAGACGGTTGACCTTTTTGATAAAATTTACAGGCATCATTCCTGTTGATCTCGTTTCTTCTGTCTGAATAGGCGCCTCTCTACGTTCCTCATCTCCCAATATTGTTCACGGGCGATTTGCGTTGCTGTTGACTGCAGGGTCCTTTTATAGATCGCATTCTTCGCAGCAGTAGTTAAAGCAAAATGAATTGAAATGTCTGTGTATATGGTATTTATTTCTGAAAGCTATGATTTTGGTGGTAAATCTTTTGCAAAGAAAACTTGTAAATTATATATTTGTAGACGATATTAAAACAAAATTCGTATGTGTACTTCCTGTGAATGCTTTCAGGTTATATTTTTTGTTTGTACTCTGTTATAATTAATATTTATTAATTTTTAGATGACCGCAGGTATCAGTTCTTCACCATCTGTTAATGTAAATAATAGGAACTTATCACCCAAGGACTCTTCTTGTCATAGCAGTACTTTTTATCAATCTACTACAACTTCATCACAATCCTCTTCACCATCATCATCAACACCAAATACCCCTACTGGATGTAATATTATACAAAATCAACAATTATTAAATAATTCTTCACCCTTAGCGTCTGTAGGAATACTATTACCAGCAAATAGCATCATTTCAAAACCAAATTCCGCCACTGGAACATTAAATGTTTTACCAGGTTTGTACTTTGTTTTCTGATTGCGAACAAGTTTACATAATAATACCAATAACAGTGTCTCAACTATACCAGCGCCCTTCAACGCTTCATGGTTTAAAACATAAGCTTCATACTAGTTGTACCAGTAACAACACAGTTTGTGTTACTAGTGGTGGTGTGAAGGCGTTGCATTCTAATAATTCGAATTCGTTGTCTAATAGACGAAAATCGGTGGGACATATACCATTGTCTCCATTGGCTAGAACGCCTTCTCCATCCCCAATCCCTTCATCACCTACGCGATCACCATCTCCACTTGCATTTCCAACTATTGGGCATCACCCAGGTTCTTCCAATACTACTCAGTCATATAGTCCAGGATGCTCAGTACCTATCCAGTCGGCCAGCACAAGCTCCAAAAAGAATGGATTCGCGCGTACGAAATCTTCAGAACCTAATTCACCACTTTTACGTCGCGCGTTATCGCCAGACAGATTACATCCTCGTACTGCTGAATCAAAATGTAGTTTATTGTCACCTCTTTGTTGTCCGCCTCCCATACAACAACAGCGTGTTAAAAATGGAATATGGCGTCCTATAAATACAGCTGGATTAAGTACGAATGTTACATCAAAAAATACAGTACATGTAATTGCTAATTCAAATGATGGCCCAATAAGTTGTGAAACACTTAAAACGCAACTTCCATCAACTGATACGCAAGTAAATGTTACTTTGGCAGCACCCAGCGAACTTTTACCACGCATTACCGAAGAAAAGGATTCTCCCACTAATATTCAAGAACCTAAAATTGGACTCACACAAAAAGTAGATAAAAATGATTCCGATTTCTGTGTTGATTGCGTAAAGAAAGCAAGTAAAAATAATGATACTGTGATTATAAAAAAAATGAGCGAATGAAACCTTACACAAAAATACGTAAGTTTTTGAAAATGTACTTGATCTTCATTTTGAAAATTTAATTCTGTTTAACTTTTTCAGCTTTACAGTTTGAAGAAATCAACATATAAGGTGTTTAAGAAATGTAAAATATAAATTTATGTTATAAAATATGCTGAATGTAATTGTTTCCAAGTCAAAGAACAACAGAGTTTTGCTATTTTTCATTAAAACGTTAAATTTAAAACTCAATATTACAAATAAAACACTTTTCGGCAAATAGTGCAGTTATTATAATTGTGAAATTAGTTTTTATATAAATTCCATATACTAAACGTGACTAATAATAATAAACACATAAGACGTTCTTAAATATAAGTTTTAAAATGATCATCAATTAAAGTTTGAAATATGTGTAAAAAAAATTTTGTTTATTATTTGTAAGTAATAAATATTTACAGTTGGAATATACTCTATTTAATTCAAAGGAAACGTGATTTTAATAATTTTGTATGAAAGTTTTCTAATTTAAAAAAGATAAAAAAAATAGTTATTTTCTTTTTATAAAGAGGTTTTTTCGAACAGTAGTGAAATACAACACCAACAATTTTTGGCTGACCATACAACTATTTCGAGTATTGCCAAATACCCATCATCAGTGGTCTTGGAAATAATTCTTGTATTTAATTATTTGTAAATAATTATAATTATAATTATAATTATTCTTTTGAAATAGTAAAAATTATGGACAAAATTATTATTTTAAAAATACATTTCTTTTTATGATGCCATGCGATAAAAAATCTCTAAAATAAAATAAAGATAAGGTGAGAGGATAATATTATGCATTGTAGTTTAAACTTGTCTTGTCAGTACTTTTTTATTTTAAAACACAAAGACTTTAAATTGAGTTACACTACAATAAATTTTACTTTTATTTAAACCAACTTCTTTTAGGCTGTTTAATTTAAATTCAAAGAGAAAACATTATAAAATATTATTTCGTACATCATTTTAAAAATATTTATGTAAGGCAAAAAAACTTTGCTTATAATGCTTTGATTTAAAAGCAAATGAATACTGACATGTAGGGAGAAATAATGATTTTATTTTAATTACATGTATTGTACACTGAAAATAAATAAAGTAAATAGTACATTAGGTTTGTCAAAATATTTGTGATATAGAGTAAGAAAGGTTGGCAACCAAGTAAGGTATAAGTATTTTTAACCAGCGTGGAAATGCGAATCGTTTTAGCGCTGGCCGTCTGTATTTTCGTGAATGCAAATGAATTTTTTTTTCTTCTCGCGTTTTGATGTCACTGAAAGCGCGCGCGAAAATTGTTCAAACCGTAACTTTTGTCTTTTTTGATTAGAAATAGCTAAATTTAAATTTCAAAGTTATGATCATTTGAACGATAGACCATAAATAAATCGAATCTGTGAAAAAACAGTGCTAGTGGACGGTGTTAATCAGTCTTTTGTAAATATAAAAAATTTTTTTTAAACAAATTAAATTTTAAATTTGCAAAAAATAACAAAACCAAAACAAAATTAAGTTTTGCTCAAAACAGCTGATAGAGACAGCATATGATCGAAAGCAAAGAATACTTGTACAAGAACGGCAACTTAAATGTAAACAAAAAAAACCAACCAATACACTCTCAAAATAATTTACTACTACCAAACCAAGCACGTAGTTTTGTTGTTGCAATTCGACCCATCACGACTGAAAAGTTTCACCACCCCGAACGGAACGTTTCACAACCACGAACGGTCTTAATTTTTTTTATTACGAAAGAGCAATATGAAGAGCGCAATTTGGGTTTTGTTTAGTTATTTTGGCAGGAGAAATGCGCCAAAAACTGAAAAACGTTCTCAAATCAAACTGAGTAGTGTTTGAATAAGTAGTGAATAAGTTTCTTTGAAAAAATAATTATATTTATTATAATTATTATTATAGTAAATTATTATATATTTATATTTGAAGATGGTGCGGAATTGCGTGATGGGATGTAAGTTATTTAAGGGAATGTATGAATTTCTTAGAAATGACGAAGGAAGGTAAAAAAGATATTTTCTGGTAAGAAATTATAATTTGGTGTTGCCACAGTGTAACTTTCAAGTATTAAATATAAATACGTAAAAAAATTTTATTTACTTTTTCTCTTATTAAAATTAAAACACCTTATATAAAAATAAATAAATTTATTATAAATTTAAATTTTAAAAAAAAATTAAAATGTAATTAAATAAACTAACTATATAATATTCTAAATCCGTTGTATGACCGATTACGGAGGAATTGTACGTCGGCAATCTCTAATAAGTGAAAATGGCCTAAATGGCTATATAACACTAAACACAGATGACACTAATATAATAAACCATTCCCCAAGCAAACCTTTAGAAAATTGAAAAATTGAAACAAGTATAAGTAGATAGTAGATAGTAGATAGCGAAATTGCCATCGCTAATAAAATTAAATTAATAAATAATAAAAACGAAAAGTTAAAACATAGTTCCCCAAACCAACACGCAACAATACATATCAATACACGCAAAGAAACTAACATGAACACGTTACAGGCATCAAGCAATGCGACTTTGGGTCAATAAAAGATAAAACATCTAAATCAATTCAGGTGAAAAATATACAACAACAAATTCTACAACTTCAACAACAGCTTCAAAAATTGTGTAATGATAAAAAAAATAACCTCCTCCAAGACAAAGGTTCAACTCAAGCTGCAGCCACCATAAACGCTACCTCTGTTAACGACACTTGGACAGTAGTTAATAATCGTAAACGTCAACGCGATAGTCCAAATAAAAATCATCAAGCAAGTCAAAAACAAATCAAGCTAGACTCATACTGGCTAAATGAACCCATTAAACCAAACCGACACGCAGATCTACAGGTAGATAACTCTGAAGAAACTGAAGAATTGTTAAAAAATAATGATACGGTTCCAAAAATACTGAAACCTCCACCTATATTTATTGATAAGGTACATTGCATCAAACCTCTAATAGATGTATTAAACGAACATGCAGCTAATCAATACAACTTAAAAGTGCTAAATTCATGTCAAGTAAGAGTTCAACCTTCTACATCTGACTCATACGTAAGCATTGTAAAACAGTTGGAACTCAAAAACACTGAATTTTTCACTTACAAACCAAAAACCGAGAGAAGCTTTAGGGTTATATATTTAAAAATTTGCATCATTCAACCGATATTGATGAAATCAAAAATGCACTGTTGGAGCAAGATTATACGGCTGTAAACGTTTGGAACAAAAGCTTAGAGGGTCAGGTGAACCCCTTCCCATGTTTATAATTGAACTTGCACCAAACCTAACAATAAGGATATCTATTTGGTTAAGAAACTCTTATATACTACAGTTACATTCGAAACACCTCACCTGAAACTTGAAATTCCTCAATGTGCAAATTGCCAGCAGTATGGGCACACGAAAGGATACTGTCACCGCAAACCCAAATGCATCAAGTGCGCTGGAAACCATGCATCTGTTAATTGCGAAAGGAAAAGCAGATCAAATGTGTTTTATGTGAGGGAAATCATTCGGCCAACTACAAAGGATGTCAAATATACAAAAACCTACAAAAAAAAATGTATCCCCAATTAAGGCCTAGGTCGCCGGAAGTGCAAATTCAAGAAAATCCTCTTCCTTCTCTAAACAAAAATCACATCACGAATTCACATTCATCTCAAACATTCGCACAAATAGTGAAGTCAGACACCAGTAGCGCAACAGAGGAGAAGCTATCACCAATTCCAAATAATTTTGTGGAAGAATTCCGTGAGATGACATCGCTCCATATTGTAGTAGCCATATGGAACGCTAATGGTCTATCAAAACATGCTGTCGAAATAAAAGCATTCTTAAAAATAAACCAGGCCGACGTAATGATGGTATCAGAAACCCATTTTACGATAGGTTTCTTTAAAATTCCGAACTATGAACTTTATCACACAATGCATCCCAGTGGTAAAGGAAATGGAGGCTCTGCGGTGCTCATAAGGAAATCGATAAAACATTATGAAGTAAAACCATATTGTACGAATGAAATTCAGGCAACAAACATTGTAGTACAAACTAAAGAAGGCGACATGACTTTCTCATCACTCTACAGCCCACCGCGCCACAGTATCTCGAAGGATATGTACATATCATTTTTTCAGCTGCTTGGATCTAGGTTCCTAGTTGGCGGAGATTTTAATGCTAAACACTTAAAAGGGGGTTCCCGCCTAATAGCTCCAAAAGGACGACAACTTTTCGAAGCAATAAATATACTCAATCTCAACAGGTGAACCCACATACTGGCCAACGGATAGAAGAAAAATACCTGACTTAATTGATTTTGCGGTATCAAAGGGGGTACGTATCGAGACAACTACCTGTAAGTCCAATTTCGACTTGTCATCTGACCACTCGCCAATAAAAATCACTCTCAATGACTGCTGTGAAATTATAGAAAAATGTATTTTTCAAAACAAAAATACTGACTAGAACAGTTATCGTCAACTAATTACAATTGGTCTAAATGCCGAAGTTAGGTTGAAAACTGAATCTGATGTAACTGAAGCAGTAGAGCATTTCAACTCTTGTGTCCAAATGTCTGCATGGGAATCAACTCCACCGTTTCCTAAAAGTGTTAACCAAGATTATCCATTTAACATTAGATACCTGATCAAAGAAAAGCGTAGGATGAGAAAACATTGACAAAAGACGAGATTCCCTGCGGATAAAACTCGCTTAAACAAATTATGTAAACTCGATAAAGTCCTAATATTAAAGTATAACAATAATCGCACGTCCCTATACCTCCAAAACCTAAGTGCTTCATGTGATACAAATTACTCCCTTTGGAAAGTCATAAAAAAGAATAACAGACCTATTGCTTATCAACCACCTATACGCAAAATAGACAACTCATGGGCAAAAAGCGATATTGAAAAAGCAGAAACATTCGCATTACATTTGGACCAGGTCTTTAAACCAAATGATAACGAAAATATGCCTGATATCATGAAACAAAAAATTAATTTTCTACAAGAGCCTTATCAATTGGAACTTCCAATTAAAAGATATACTATTAATGAAGTTGGGGATATAATAGCAAAGTTGAAAGTAAAAAAAGCTCCAGGATACGATTTAATCACAGGCATGGCTTTGCAGCAGCTTCCACCAAAAGGATATGTATTTCTGACTTATCTATTTAACGCTGTGATAATAAGGTGGTTTATTTCGCCACAGTGGAAGATAGCGCGAATCTCCATGATACCGAAACCAGGGAAAAGCCCAGAAGACGTCAAATCATACCGCCCAATAAG